GTGCCTAGACAATAACAGTTTGCATTTTCTTTCACTTTAGATATATCGGATATATGTACATAGGAACTCGTAAGTTATAGAACAGGACAGGTGTAGTGGCTCATGCCTGTAATCCCAGCACTTTGGGAGGCCAAGGTGGGAGGAATGCTTGACGCCAAGAGTTCAAGACTAGCCTGGGCAACATAGTGAGACCCTGCCTCTACAAGAAATAAAATAATTAGCCAGGTGTGGTGGTGCACACTTGTAATCCTAGCTACTTGGAAGGCTGAGGAAGGAGGATTGCCTGAGCACCGGACATTGAGGCTGCAACGAGCTGTGGTTGTGCCACTGCATTCCAGCCTGGATGACAGAGACTCTGACTCAAAAAAAAGAGAGAGAGAATAAATTACCAGCACATATACAGTTGTAGACAACATTATAGCACAGCATTGCTCAAAGACAAAGCCTCTGCTTTCAAATCTCAGGTCATTCACTGTGCTCTCTGAATCATGTTCGTCAGTTTCCTTCTTGGTGTGGTAACCAAAAATAATGATCTTTCCACAAGAAGACTGTGAGGGAACTAAGTAATTATTATGAAAATAGAAAGCAATAGAATATTGATATTTATACTTGATAGCATTTACTGTCAGTGAAAATGAAAATGAACCCTTGGATCACTTGAATTCAAGTAGAAGTCTTAGATTTTATAATAAATTGCCCATTGGAAGTATTCTACCAAACACTGAGCAGTAGTCACGCCAAGACAAAGCTAGCAGACGAGAATAACAGATGTTAGCAATAAAAATGAGAAATTAAAATATTTACATTCTATAAGTATATTTTAAAAGAAGTAAATAGCTCAGGGCACGTACCTATTGCATGTATATGTTTCTTTTGTAGCTTTGAAGAGTATTCAGGGAGGAGCCACATCATATTTATCTATGTGTACCTATAATATTTAACCCAGTGACTTGAATGTAGTAGATGCTCAGTGAATAAGATATGAAAAAAAAATGAATTGACATGTTCAATGACAATGAGCCCGCCAAGCAAGACATATTATAGTTACTTGGAATATTAAACAGCTATTTGTTTAAAAGACTGTGTTAACATGGAAAGCTGTTGTTGATAGAATGTTAGGTAAAATAATTTGAATATATAGTAATGTCATAATCATATAAAAATACATTGGATAGAATTAAGACAGATTATAACTATTTCAAAATGTTAAAATGAGACTTTAGAAGGTTCAGCAACGGTTGTTATTTCTTCTCTCTACTTCCTATATCTTTTTTAATAAACACATTTCTTCATCTTATAATAATTTGGTATATCTGTGGAATTAGCAGGAAATGTTCTAGGAGTTATGTATTGCTTTGTGGAAGCTCTTGTATTTCTGACATACTGGCTCAAGTTACTACTTCTAACTGGGAGAGCCTGCAAACAATAAGACTAGTTAGGAGATAATTTGATAGTTTATGTATTGGCCAAGAACATGTTCATCCACACATAACAGAAAACAGTTTAACACAATTGGGATTTATTTTTAGATGTATCAAGTCCAAAGGTAACCAGCTCAGGACTGCTGCAGCTTCAAGATGTATGAATGATTCGGGCTCTTTCTGTCTTTCTGCCCCAGCATCCTTAGCTGTGGTTTCCATCTTTATATTTCTTTTTCTTTATTATTACTATTTTTTAGTCCAAGTTTCATTCTGTCATCCAGACTGGAGTGCAGTGGCAGATCATGGCTCACTGCAGCCTCAACCCCTGGATTCAGATGATCCTTCCACCTCAGTCCCCTGATGAGCTGGGACTACAGGTATGTGCCACCATGCCTGGCTAATTTTGTTGTTTTTGACTTTTTGTAAAGAGGTCTCACTAGGTTTCCTAGGCAGGTCTCCAACTCCTGGGCTTAAGCAATCCCCCCACCTCAGCCACCCAAAGTGCTGGGATTACAGGCGTGAGCCACTGTGCCTGACCTATCTTTTCCACATCATGTTCACCTTCACTTTTATCATGAAATTCTACCTCCATCCTCATGTTAGTATTCTGGGAGAAAGAATAAAAGGAAGTAATGGGGTGGGGCTGGTGTCCCAGCACTTTGGTAGGCCAAGGCGGTAAGATCAATTGAGGCCTGAAGTTCAAGACTAGCTTAGGCAACATAGTGAGACCCCCTACACCTCCACACGCACACACACAAATTAATTAGGTAAGATGTCATGTGCCTACACTCCTGGCTACTCAGAAGGCTGATGTGGATCACTTGAGCTCAGGAGTTTAAGGCTGCAGTGATCTATGATTGTGTCACTGCACTTCGGCCTGGGTGACTGAGTGAGACCCTGCCTCTTAAAAAAAAAAAAGAAAAAAGAAAAAAAAAAAGGAAGGAAATACTTTTCTAGAAGTCTTAAGCAGATGTCTACAATTGTAGCACATGGTCACCCATAACTGCATGAGATCTAGGGAAACGAATTTTTCAGCCAGGCACATTGCCACCCTCTTTCCAAACAAAAAGATGGGTCATATCTGAGGTGGACATTGTGGAGATGCCTTTTCTGGAGCAGTAAAACTTCAGCAGTCTGAGAAGCCTAAATCCAAGTTTGGTGCCATTTTTCCCTTGAAGCAATTAACTTTCTAAAAGCGCAGTAGCAGTAGCGAGAGGTTGAGAAACGCGCTGGAGTTTTCAACTGCCTCAAGGGAGTGGTTGTGGGGTGGGGATTAAACATTCTGATTTCAGGACCTAAGGTGAAATTTTAAATTGGAAACATGTTACACCCTGGAAGCAACTTTCCCTGATTAGAGTAAGGTGATCTGTCCCTAATCTAAGTAACCTGCATGAGCCATGCCTCCCAATAGTCAATCTTGCGAAATTCCCTTCCACATGGACTCTGAGCTTGGCTGGTAAGTATGATGCAAGTAAAGGAATGTCCCCTCTTACAACCCTAAGATTACCATGGTTATCGCATAGGGAAAACCAAGCACACCATATATATTTCTGCTCCAGTACCCTTGGCTCGTGGCTTCCATCTCCATATTCTCCACATCAAGTTCAACTTCATTTTAGCCATGAAACTCCGTCTCCATCCTCAAGCCCCAAGACATATGGCCGTAGTTGAACCATCCCCAGCCACATAAGCCATGCTAATTGAAGACATCATGGAGCAGAAATGAGCCACCGATCAAATTCCTGAGCCAGAGAATCCAGACTCATGAGCAAATAAAAGTTATTGTTTTAAGTCATACTTTGGGATGCTTTGCACACAGCAATAAAAACTGAAATAGGCTGGGCCTGGTGGCTCACATCTGTAATCCCAGCACTTTGAGAGGCCAATTGAGAAAGGATCGCTTCAGCCCAGGGGTTCGAGACCAGCCTAGGCAATATAACAAGACCTTGTCTCAATAAATAAATAAGTACATAAATAATAAATAGGTAAGCAAGCTAGGCATGGTGGTGCGTGCTGTGGTCCCTGTGGTCCCAGCTACTCAGGAGGCTGAGATGGGAGGACCACTTGATCCTAGGAGGCTGAGGCTGCGGTGAACCACAATCGTGCCACTGCACTCCAGCCTGGGTGATAGAGTGAGATTCCGACTCAAAAATAATAATAATAAAAATAAAAACGACTGAAACACTACTAACAGAACAAAGATCGTATAACTACTTAATTGCTGGAAGAGAATGGAATTGAAAAAAAAACCTAAAAGAAGGCATGAAAGGCTAGGACAAGAACACAGGACAGACGAGAACAGATAGCAAGCAGAAAGCTGGTGGATTTCAACTCAAATATTTGCTTCTAGGCAATTCTAGGAACAAGGAGACCCAAACCAAGATCTTGTCTCAGTATAGGTTTTAACTGTAAAGATTCCTGTCTTTTACCCATTGTCCTCTGAATTCCACCCATATCGTTCCCACCTTGGGCTCCTGGCCCTGCCTTGATACAATTTGAAATGAGCAGGCTGCTGGGGAGATGCCACCCTTAATCTCTTCTTCCCTGGCGTGCTCACGCCGTCTGGCTTAGAAGAGCTTGATCAAAGCTCTTGTCTAGTAACATCACCTCCTCCTATCACCTATTTTACAGGACCAGGCCTGGAATTACCAGTATCTTTTTATTTGTTTTGTTTGGGTCTCATCTGTCGCCCAGACTGGAGTGCAGTGGCACACTCACGGCCACCGCAGCCTTGACCTGCTGGGCTCAGTCGATCCTTCTGCCTCAGCCTCCCTAGTAGCTGGAACTACAGGCGTGCGCCACCATGCCCAGCTCTCTTTTTTTTTTTTTTTTTTAATTTAATTTGTAGAGAGGAGGCCTCACTATGTTGCCCAGGCTGGTCTCGCACTCCTGGGCTCAGGCAATACTCTCACCTCGGCCTCCCAAAGTGTTGGGAAGACAGGCGTGAGCCACCGCGCCCGACCGACCGTATGAATTTTATGTAGTGTTTCTTCCTTCACCACGGAAAATCTACTCAATCTTGAGTTCCAACTCAAGGCATTTTACAACCCAAACACAAGGCGGTGTCTTTGGCGAGCGCGTGGTGCTCTCTGCAGGCCCCCGGCATAGGCGGAGCAGGGCTGTAGCCCCCATCGGGCGCTCGGACGGATGTTTGCCGAATGAATCAAGCGGCCGCTGTGGTGTTTGTGGGCTTTAAAGGACACGTACACGCGCTTCTATCGTCAAAACCCCAGAGCCGGTTTCCCTTCGGCGAGGCGGCGTTCACGGTACGCCGAAAGCGTCTGCAGGCTCAGATGCTCGGCCGTCCCGCCCGTCCGGCGCGGGGCCGGCGACCCAGTCTGGCGGCCGCGGTCGAGGAAGCCATGGGCTCCCGCCGGGGATGCGGCGGCGTCCGGGGCTGGGAGCGTCCCGCGGGGAAGCAAACGCACAAAGCCGACCGCACGGAAACGGGCCGTCCCGCTTCACATCCCCCCTCGGGCGCTGGCGCTCCTGGGCACGGACTGAGTCTCCATCCGTCCGCAGGCAGGTGGAGCCCGCCCCCCAG